AAGATATTTTAAAGGGACATCAAAAATACTGTAGTTTAAATTAAATACGCCTATTTTAAACTCCTTACAACAAAGGATTAAAGTAAAATGAAATATGTATTTTTTTTTTAAAGATTTTATTTATTTATTTGACAGAGAGAGAGACAGCGAGAGAGGGAACACAAGCAGGGGGAGTGGGAGAGGGAGAAGCAGGCTTCCCACCGAGCAGGGAGCCCGATGCGGGGCTCAATCCCAGGACCCTGGGATCATGACCTGAGCTGAAGACACTTAATGACTGAGCCACCCAGGCGCCCCTGAAATATGTATTTTAAGCACATTACTAAAAGTTCATATAAAGTGTTAACATCTCATACTAATAAGTCTTCTTTGTAATACAGACTTTTCAAATTAAAACTGGGATTTGTTTTCAGGACAAGGATAAAACACTCACAATATGCTCTACCCGAGAAGAAAGAGGAGGCTGCATCTCCTAAAAATCTAATGTCACTTTCTCTTCCATTTAGTCAGGTAATGTTGAAAAGACAAATACAGCACAATAAAGAAGTAGTAAAAAAACGATCCTGTTGCAGGCGCGTTTACAACTTTGCTTTTATCTTTTTTTAATTCTTTGTACCTTCTCTAGTGAACAACCTACCATTAAGACTCAACCATACGAAAATCAGAGTATAGTTAGAAATAATATTTTAGACATTCAAACAGGAAAATACAGATATACTATACGAAGACTGCTTAATAGAGTATTAATACTATAAAACTAGCAAAGCGATGCTAGAAAATACAACCTCACTATGTAAAATTAGAGTTTATTTTCCCAATGAAGGGAAAATAAGATGAAATTCAAAGGGAAAGGAAAATGAATATAGATTTCTAAACAGTATGGGCAAGCCAATATTACTTAAGACAAACTGTACCAAAAACAGTAGCTCAACTGTAAAGTACACTATTGAAATATATTTATCCAAAGCCTCCAACACTTTTAAACAATCAGTTCTTTGAATGATTTAATTAATTTAAATGATTACTGCCCACTTTATTTGTAAGGCAATGGAAATATCAATTTTAAGAACTGTAAAAACTGTTAAATTCAAATTACGTACGATTCCTTTACCAGATTTGCAGATCAACTATTTTTCTTAATGCTTACTTTTTTTTAGGCCAACTAGTTCTCTAAAAAAAACAAATCGAATGTTAGAAAAAGCCCCAATAGCCATTAAAGAGTTAAACCTCACCTCACACAAAAATATCCATTGTGTGAAAAGCTATTTTTCTTCCAAGTTAGGTTGACTAATTATACAATTCTAAAGATAAATATTAAGATTTTTCTGCCAAGAACTTTCCTTTCAAACACTACTATATGTATTTCAATTTGGATGTTTTTGTAACAACAAAAAAAAGAGTCTGTGTTACTCAGTTTTAGAGAGTTTTCTCTCTTGGTAGATTTAAGGTAGCAAGGAAAATACCATCAGAAAACTAAAAGATTGTCCCAGGATTTTACTCCCTAAATATATGCTCTTTTAGCAGTCCACTCATATTAATGTATAACAAAATTAGACAATAACCCATTTGAAGGTCATTTATATTTGCTATTGGTGATTTTCCATATCACACATGTTAAGAAAATGAACTAAAATGTTATCCGAATTAAGGAGACACATCAACATTTAATGCATTATTTTAGACATCAGAGTTTGAATTCATTACACCATAATAAAAGGCTAATTTTCACACAAGTATTAAGTTCTCATTCCAAAATTCTGAAAGTACAAAAACTTAAAAAATTCTCTAAATGAGAAACAGATTTCCTTCTATGCTGTTCAGTGCTACGTCATGATCAAGTCAAGTTGATATGGATAGTGGAATAATTATACCTAAGCATTTAAATCTTTGATACAATGTCTGCCTTATTCATGAGTCTCTCAAATCAGTCCAGTTTTACAGTTGAAAAGGGAGTGTTTAATTTGATCAAGTGCTTTAAGGAAAAAATATCTAGTTTCTATCCCATTTTTCTCCCAAAACATACACACACACACACCTACATATGGTTGGGGGGAGGGGTTAGGAGAGAGAAAGAGAACACTAAGGATAAAAGAGAAGAAGATAAAAACACCAGGAGAAAAAGTTGGAAAACAAGCCTGCAGAACTCAGAAATACAGGGGGGGGGGGAATACTAGAGAAATAAAGACCAAACTAAAAGCAACAGAATCAGACTAGCTAGCAACATACAACACTAGAAAATGGTACAGCAATGTCTGCAAAGCCCTCCACAAAAGGAAGAGGGACCCAAAACCATTATTTGTCAATCTGTCATGCAAATATAGGCCACATAATCACTTTCATATATTCGAAAATTTGGGAAGTTATTTCACACATGAATATTTTGCAAGGAGGGGAAGGTGATCTTTCAAACCAGATGTCAAAGTCAAATTATACAAATAGAAGTCTAATCATGAGAAATCTATTTTAAAATAACTACAGTTGGTTTGAAATTAAGGAAGCTTTGAATACAGAATAAAATAAAAATGCTATAAATCTTGCCAATAAATAATATGACTAAAAATATAGGACAAAAAGAGAGAGGGGGCAAGTATGAGAAAGTGTAACTTTGCTGAGCTCAACTTTTAAATCCAGGACTCCTTAAATAACTGTTTAAAGTTAATAATTCAGTTAGTAGAAGTTTAAACATATTATAAAAGGTATAAATAAGAACTTAAAATATAAACAAAAATTAAGAGAAACAGAGTGGAGGTGAAGTATAAATTAATTTCTTCATCTTTCATAATGAGATCAACACATACCTTTTAGGGTTAGCAAATTTAAAAAGTTGAAGTATGTTACTGTGTTACAAAGACAGTACAAATCTCCAAGTTACCAAAGAGTATATACCACATCAAAATATAGGCCACACATCACAGAAAGCATTCTACCTATCCTATCATTCCCATAAATGAGAAAAACTCCTCTTTTACAAGTCTCTGACAAACGCAATTATACACATCTACAGGAGGCACAACTAAACCAAACTGATTCAAAACACTGAAAGCAAAAGTATGAAGAAATAGAACTTAGAGAAAGCAGCAATCATGACATTAAGCAAATTGAATTTAAGTCAAAAAGCATAAAACAAATCATAGAGGAACTTTACATTAATGAAAACTTTGAATCCACAGGAAGATCACCTATCTCTGTCTATCAAAAATAGGGTAAAACCTGTAAGTAGTAAGATGAAATAAAATGCAAGGGTCTTATTATATTTTAACTTACCTCTCTCAGCTTATAACCACCAATTAAGAAAACCGAATTTAAGTAAGAATACTGAACCCTGTAACAATTTTAAAAGCAATTAACAAGGGGCACCTGGGTAGCTCAGTCAGTTAAGCCTGTCTTTGGCTCAGGTCATGATCGCAGGGCCTCGGGATGGAGCCCCACGTAGGCTCCCTGCCTAGTGGGGAGTCTGCCCCTCCCTGCCACTCCTGCTCTCTCTCTCTCTCAAATAAATAAATAAAATCTTTTAAAAAATAAAAAAAAAAGGTAACAAAAAAAAGTAACGGAAATGCATCATATTTTGTATTCTTCAGACAGAATTCATACTCTTGATAAGTGCCTATGAAACCATTCTAAAACTACATTGGGCCTCAAAGAAAAACCTCAATATACTTCAATAAGTAAAGGGCACAGACCACATTCTCTGGTAAAAGTACAATGAAACCGGTAGTCATTACAAAAACAAATACAAAACTCCCACAACCTGGAAATTTTAAAATTCTTTCAGGTTCTTGGCTTAAAAAGGAAATCAAAATCAAAACTGTGAATTATCCAGAAACAGTAACTCTAAAAGAACCCAGAAAATAACAATGATTCTAAAGGAATCCATGAGCCACAGCAAATGCAGTATCCCTAGGAAAAATATAACTTCAGAGACCTAAGTAAATGAGACCGAATGTGAACAATGCAGATCTACTACAAGGTAGTGGGGAGGAATAAGGAAAGGGTGGAGCTAGGACTCCAATCTAACAATTTATTTCTTAGAGAGAGATCTGAAACTAAATGATGGGTCCACAAGTGATTGCTACGTTATTTTCTGAATTTTTCTGTCTTTGCAATCTCATAAATTAAAATTAACTTTTAAGGTAAAGAATTAAAAATGCATTTAAGTTAAATGTTCCACTCACAAAGGTAGAAAAAAAATGGAAAACAAATTTGGTAATAAACAAATAAACTCACAATTTAATGAAAAAAATACCAGTACAGCTAATTATTAATCCAGGAGCCAATCTTCAGGGAATAAAACAATGGTAATTAAAAAAAAAAAGAAGACAAAAAAAAAACAGGTAGAGGGGAAGAGTAAAGTAGAGGGGAGGAATAGCGATTGGGGTGCCTGCCTGTATGCAACTCTTGATTTTGGGGACCTAAGTTTGAGCCCCATGTGGGGTGTAGAGATTACTTAAATAAATAAAACTACCAAAAATAATTAAATAAAATAAGAATGGAGATTTAACTGCATATAAGAATCTAAAAAAAAAAATAAGACAATGTTTGCTACAATGCTAAACAAATATATTTGTCAACCTGGATGAAGATGGTTTTCTAAGAAAAACCAAACATTCAAACTGACCCTAGAATATTGAGAAAGATAAATCCTATGATGAAAGGAATAATTTCAATGCTCTTTGAAACTCTATAAAACCATCACAAAGAGAAACCAAAACCCAAACACATACATATACACACAACTGCAAATTAAATTTATGAATAGATGGAATAATCTTGAATAAAATATTAGCAAATAAAATCCATCATATTAAAAGTACAATTTACCATGACCAACTAGGATCATTCCAATATTACAAGTCTACTAGAAAATCTATTAAATAAAGCTTAATGTTTAATAATGTAATGTCAAAAGCCTTTTGCCATCTATAAAGACAGTATATTTTCTCCACAAAGCTTCTGGTAACATTAAGTATCTCAATAACAATTATAACTGGATTTTTTTCAGAAAATTTGACAAGCTGTTTCCAAGTGAGAGAATCAAGTGAGCTAACTCATGGAAACTATGAAAAAGGAAAGAAGAAACAAGATAGCCTACAAAACAATCAAAATTGTGTAATAATTGCTACAGTAATTAAAATTTGGTATTGGCATAAAACAAGACAAAGAAATGGAATGGCAGAGTCCCAAAATAGAGAAAAACTTAATGCATGTCAAAGATGGCAGTTCAAATAAGGTTAAGAAAGAAAAGGGATATGTAATTCAACAAAAGATACAATTACAAATCCAGCTGTTGGAAAGACAAAAGATGCTGGTGAAGAAACTGGATTCCTATCTCACTCCCTAATGGCAGTTGAATCAAAGATTCAAAGGTGTTTAAAAAAAAAGTAGAAGAATCTGTCAAATGTATTAGAAAAAATGAATAATGTTTTAAAAAATTATGTTGTAGTGGAACAGAACTTTCAAACAAAAACCTTTAAGATCGATGCATTTGAATGTATTAAAATTAAAATTCTGTTATAAAAACAACAAGCTGGGAATCAAAAAGAGTATTTTCCATGCATATAACAAAGGACTAATTTCTTTAACATTTAAATGCATGTGGTATGTATGCATGTGTATATACAATACATGCATTGTATGTATACACACACACACTAGAAGTCATTATGAAAGATAATAAGCAGAAAAATGGGCAAAGATTAAGAATAGACAGTTCCAAGAAAAGGAAATACAAATAGATTTAAATATACAATAAAGCAGTTACCTTTACTCTATTAAAGACATAAATAAATGAAAAAATATTTTCTAATTATCAGGTTGGTATAATACCAAAAAGAGTAATAACCATATCTGTGAGAATCTGAAGAGAAACATTGACAAACTTGTGAGAAGGAAATCAGTACAACCTCTGTTAAAGACAATTAGGTAGAAGCTATCAAAAATGTAAAGTATATTATTTTTTGGCTTAGAAATTCAACTTCTAAAATCATGGGATGTTCATTTTTGAGTCATTAGCAATAGCATCTGAAAACACTTAAAAATGAGTATCGACAAGGGCTGTTTAATGTACAACCCTATTATGGAACTCTACACCAGCTTTTGAAAAGAATGAGATTGATCTCTATATAAATGGTAAGGAAAGATCTGCAAAATGCTTTGGTAAATGATACAGTTATAGAAATGTTACATATCTTCCCATTTGTCTAAAGATACATATGTAGGTCCATATAAGTGAAATGTAAATAAAGTTTCTAGAAGAGTAATAAAAAAGAAGTGATTTTTTTACAGATTCATTTACAGTTTCCTGTAGGGAACAAGAACGTGGGACTGAATAAGAGTGACACTCCCTTTTTACTTTAAACCCTTTCCTATATTTATGAGCCAGGCATATTCTAAGCTGAGGAGACAGCAATGAACACGTAAAATCCCTGCGCCCACAGCAACTGCATGGGGGGCATGAGGATCAGTAGGGAGACAGACAGTAAAACAATAACTGTGGACACACACACACACACACACAATGTCAGATGATATTTAAGTGCTGTGAGGAACAATAAAGCAGGGTTACAAGGGAAAGGGACTGTATGTATTGGGGAGGGAGGTTGTAATTTTACATGGAATGGTAATAAAAGGAATACAGTGAACTAGGATGCATATGAAGGTTCCCCTACCCCAGGATTGGGACTAAAGTGATATATAAACTACAACCTGAAGGATGATTAGCCAGGGGGAGAAAAGGAGGCGGTGGCAGGGGCAAAGCACTATACAGAAGCAGAAAAAACTCAGGTGGGTTTTTTCTTGGGTGGGTTGGGGGGAGGGCTACACATGAACAGAACCCAGTTCCTAAAAAGTCTTATAAAAACAATTTAAAACATTTATACAGAGGACAGAAAATGAGAGCTAAATTTGGAAAAGTTACTCTGGCTGTAATGTGTAACGTGTTTTGGTCGAAATAACCCAAGAAGTAAAGAAACCAGACAAATGTTTCAGTAATTCTGCCCCAAACTAATGGCCTTTAAAAGGTAAAGTAGCGGGGCACCTGGGTGGCTCAGTCGTTAAGTGTCTGCCTTCGGCTCAGGTCATGATCCTAGGGTGCTGGCACTGAGTCCCCCATCAGGCTCCCTGCTCAGCAGCGGAAAGCCTGCTTCTCCCTCTGCCTGCCGCTCCCCCTGCTTGTGCTCTCCCTCTCTCTCTCCCTCTGTGTCAAATAAATAAATAAAATCTTAAAAAAAAAAAAAAGGTAAAGTAGCAACAAGGATGGAGAATAGTGGGTCAAAAAATGTACAATCCATCCCTATTACTCACAGTTTCCGTATTTGCAAATTCACCTATTCACTAAAATGTATTAGTAACCCCAAAATCACTATGTGTGGCACTTCTGCAATCATGCCCAGACAAGTTCAGGGAAGCAAAAACTTTGAATCCAATATGCACAGTCCCAGCTGAGGTCAAAAGGTGATAAGATACTCTGCCTTCTTATTTCAGCTCTCACACCATAAATAACACCCTTTTCTATCTAGTGTCACATTTTTCACATTACGATTTTAGTTGGTTATTTCGCTGTTTAAAATGGTCCCCATGAGCATGGTATGTTAAGTCCCCCAAGGTAAACATATATAAAATTCTACCTTTTGGAAAGCAAGAATTCTAAGTGACAAATATTTTAGAAGAAATTCTTTACAACCAGGTAGTTTCTTTTTTTTTTTTTTTTAATTTGTTTACAGGAACATAAAAGCAGGTACCTTCAGCATAAATTATTGAAATTCCGTTCTGAAGGATCAAGCTTATCTAAAAAATCCCTATGGATAAACTGTGATGTTTTCTTATTTAAGAGAATCTCAGAATTATCATTTATTTCAATGTAGCTTTTACAAAAATGTATATATACACTCAAAAATGACAAGTCTTTTACACCCTAAAAATTAAAAATACAATGTACAACTGCATACACTGGGCTTTATATAATTTTAAAAGAAAACTAGTAAAGAAATTACTATCAACCCTTCCTTGTCTGGTCAACATTCTCTTTGTTTATATAAGTAACAAAAAACTGTTAAGTCTACTACAAAAATGACTCTATAACCAATATACACTTGTAGAACACAAAACAAAAAACTTGTTGATACATAGTTCTTCCTCAACGTGTAACTGTGTACTTGTTTTTTGGTAATGGTCCACATATAAATTCAGGGTCAATTTAAAAGGTAAATAATCCCATAAGAACTCATTACTTTTAACCGTGTTTATCTTAACAGTGCTTCCTTTCACATACAAAGAAAAGCGCTGTACTAGTTTTATCTCTGGTGTGACAATCAGTTGCATGACCTGCCATTTGAATACTAAACATGAAATATAACACACTGGGAATATTTATTGCTACTTATATGAGAAGAAAAAAGGGCAAAAGAAAAGTTCAAGAAAGAAGGATTCAAAGCCGAAAAGAGGTTAGAATGCCAATTATTAAACTTGAAATAGGAAAAAGGTAAAACAAAAAAGAAAGAAAAGTTAAACAAAGTGTTATGTACACAAGTGAAACCCTAGTTCTTGGCAATTAACGGAAAGAAGAACCATAACCAAAAGAGCCAAACAAAGACTTTAGAATGCAAAAGGACAAAACATCCATGAATTATTTAAATTATTTAAATCATTCAGATCATTTAAAGACAAAAAAAAAAGTGAGCAAAAATAGTAATTTTAAATGTCTTTTGTATTTTATATCACTTATAATATAATTACAGTATCATTTACATTCCTAAAGAAAAATATTAATGCACTTGATCATAATGCAAATAAAAATGGCTTTGCATCACAAAACTGATATTGGAATTAGAAAATAAACCAAAACTCTTAGCATACCTGAGCTACCAAGACAGCAGTCAGTCTACAACCAGCAGTTGGTGCAGAATATGCACTTAGTGCAAGCAATGATTGTCACTGGGAATGGTATCCATAAACAGACACTGATCTCTTTATCAATGGCCAAAAGCCAAGGGTGGAAGGGGCAAGGGGCCTTCTTGGTTCCACTCTCTGAATCTCAGAGACTGTGACACTTCCTTAGTCAACAAGGCCATATCATGCATGTGCCTGACGGACCAGTAGCCATGACAAGGGAAAGAGGGAGACCTATTTAAAAATTGTTGCCTTCCCTATCATTCTGCAACATAGTTTTTCCCCCTAAATAATCTTTTAAGTGGTAGTTACAATCCTAATCAGTCAATAAAAGTAGACCTAGTTCACTCTACAAGATCTACTATATGGCTTAAAAGTATTGTATTTCCGCTCGAAAATCTGTTGTAAAAGAAGGTAAAATAATAGTACCACTGTTCAATTTCAGTATGGGTTAAGTAAGTATTATTTGTGGATTCATGTGCAAAGTGGACCACTTGCGTAACACTTAAATCTATCTGGAATTATTGTCAGTTCCAAAGAGACTCATAGAATACAACTCAATTCTAAGTGGGAGACTACCCATATATAAATCTAGTTGATGAGTCATATACTAATTTTGTAAAATTACTAAAATGTTTCATCAAGGTTTAAGAGTAGGAAAACAAAATCAGCAGTTGGGATAATCCAAACTTTAAAATCGGCCATAAAACATAATGTGATTTATATGATCTCCTAAGCATCAGCATGATGTGCACTGAAATATGCAATTAAAAATAAAACCTGAAGACATCATGAAAAAGTGGTCAAGAACAATGAAGACATAATTCTGGCTTAAGTTTTCCCACCAAAACACTGGATATAAAAACATTATACACAGCTAAAAATATTGGAATGTCATTCTGAAAATAAACCGAAACAAGAAATACAAAAAAAAAATTATCAAAAGCATAGTGAAGTAGCTGCCAGAGAAAAGTATTTCTTTACGGGGAAAGGCCAGCTATTTCATTTTCATTAAGAAATAACATTTTAGACACTATTTTTTCCTGCAAGAAATATTAATAATACACTATCAGCAAACTCTTAATGTAAAAGACTATAATTCCTAATTCCTAATTTTCCTTGGAACTCCTGATTACTAGCAACTATGAAGTGTAAATTCACATTGGTCAGATGTTATTCTTAGCATTAGTAATTCCTCTCATACTACTGATTTCCTCCCCTAAGGCAGTGGTTCTCAAATAAAAGTAACACATCAAAATCACCTACGGACCATTTTGAAAATACACATTCCCAAATGCCATCCCTCAAAGACTGACCATGTCTAGAGTGAAGCCACAGTATCTGTGTTTTGAAAAAATTCCCCCAGCGATTCTGATTGTTAGCTAAGGACCACTGCTTTAAGGTATGAATTACATACTTGTTCTAGCAATTAGAAGAGCTCTTATTTGGTCTACCATTGCTGAAACTTTGTCAGTGGAGTATACAAAGCTGTCAGTATCAAAGAGGAAAACTCGACATTACTTACGGTAAAAAAAAAAAAAAAAAAGGTAAGAGATCTGATAAAACTATCTGTTCAAACAACATGCAACCATACCTGAAAACACTTTCTATGTATTTATTTTAAAGTGTGCATTTAGGACAAATGGTTTTGAAAATGTATAAAAATAACTTATGTATTAATCCAACTTCAGTATATACATGGTCCCTTAAAGGATTTTCATTTTATTATCATCAAAAAATGTATTTCAACAACCTCCACAGTATTCTTAAAAGTCAGGAATTTTAAAATTTAATAGAAAAATTTTAAATATTCACCTACAGAAAAATAATGAATAGGAATGATATCACTAATATTTTAAAATATAATTACATCTCACCTACGCTATGCCACGTATCATAAGAAAAATCTTTTATCACTAAACTTTAGTAATCACAAGTGGCATTTTCATTTAAGAACGAAGCACAAAAATACTTTATAAAAGAAAATGTCTCATTGTAAAAACTTATAAAGTTGAATGCTTCAAACAAAAATATCTGAGAGGTTTGATTTCACTATATCAAGTTTCCAAATGCACTTTGTAAACATATACCCATTTTAGGCTATCAACTTAAATAAAGCCAGTTATCACTAAAAGAAGACAGAGTAAAAAAAAAAAAAAAAAAAAAATTTTTTTCAGTGCAAAAATCGTATCAACTAAAGCTATCAACTGACTTAAGACAATTTTAATATAAAAATCACAACTTGAATCCCATGATATAAAGTAATTCTATAAAGACTTTAAATTAATTTAAAACAAAAGCTCTACAACAGTTATCAAGTTTTCCTTTTGTTACTATTCTCTAGTGAAAGCTTTCTTTTGATTAGCTTTTACAATGTCATCAGGAGATGCTGATTTGAAGTCAAATGGTGTTATTGCTATAAGAGGACTTATTTCTTTGTCCTTTATGTCTTGAACTTGTCTACTATAAAGAAAAGTCTTATACAGGTCAAGGGTGCGTCGCTTGCAGCTTTTCAGTGGGTAACGAAGACACAGTGTTGAAGCAAAAGCTGAAGGTCTAGCAGCAAGGGCCTTGGTCCAAGAGAGAGAAAAAGGTGGTTTCCTAGTCAAAGGGCCTTTACTGGTTTTTTTATTATCCTTAGCAGAATTGAAGCTTTTCCCTAACTTTGAACTTAAAACTTTTGTTTCTGATGTTGGAGCAACTGATTGGTCTACCGCATGTTTTGGAACAAAATCAGGGGTTTTTATAAGGACACTAAGATCAATATTTGAATCTATCCCAGGTGATCTCATTTCAGATAAACTGAGCTTAAAAGAATCCTTCTTAATCTGAGAGTTGTCTATATCAATTGTTTCTGCAATCAAATCAGAAAGTGACAAATTCTCAAGGTCTCTTGTAGGAGAAGCTTTACAAAATGCCAAAGATGACAGAGATCCTGTTAATTCTGATATTCCAGTCGAAGATGGATACCGATTTGCTAGCTGTGACAGGGGAAAGGATCCCAAACTTAGATCTGTGAAACTGGAAGATGACTGGTTACAAAGATCAGATAAAGTAAAGCACTGGCTCGGATTGTTTTCTTTGTGCTCCTGCAATAGTCCAGCTAGGGATGGACTTTCACACTGGGAAAACTGCAAACTGTCATTTTTTAAAATGTAATTCTTTGCACTTTGTTCAACTGAAGAAACACTTCCAACGTCAGTCATTTTACTAGCATTTAAATTATCATGAGCCGTATTTTCCAATGAGCTAGTTAAGAGCGAATGATCATTTAAATTTCCTATGCTGTTTTCTACTGGAATGTTTTGCAAATCAGGTAGCGAATTATTTTGAGTACATAAAGAGTTATTAGGTGTTATGTTCTTTATCATTAAGGATTTTAAATCTGGTATTTCTTTGAATGAAGAATCATCTTTGGAAACACATTCAGATTCATGAGGTCTTAACATATCAGCACCTAGATTCTTTGAAAATAGACTTTCCAGACTATCTGTGGTTGATAATCTGACTGATGGCTGACTTTTACAAGAATCTCTTGGCATATCATCAATTAGGTCAGCTGGTGACAGCTCTTTTGTTAACTTACATGATTCTAGTTTCTTTTCACTTTTAGGTCTGTCAAGTTTCTTTTTTTTATGGAGTAAATAGTGACTTGGTACAACTGAGGAATTAGGATATAATCCAGATTTTGCTACTGGACCAGAAAAATCAAAGGATTTGCTACTATGATCCAAGTGGTTTGTGGATTGAGGACAAGAGCTTTGAACATTATCAGCTGAAACTTCAGAGGAAGATAATAAGACTCCTTACCTTACAAAAGCCATTAATTTTCAGATGAATAGGTTGACATATGCAGAAGACAGTCACAGCAACCAAAAGGAAACATGAAATGAGGCATTTAATTACTAAATGTTTCTTTTGATTATAACATGAATAAAGTGATCAAATATTTGATCATTATTTAATAAAAAGTGAACACTCTAAAAAAACAGTAATAAAGGAGTTTTACCTTCCTTTAACCATCTAAAGTGACCTTCTTACTTTGTTCACTGATATATATAAATATAAGTACCAAGTTAGTCAATATTCTAATTTTCACAAATTTTATAATGTGAGGATTTAACATATTTAAAGAATCGTCAGAATTGTCAAATTCAAAATGTCTAAAAGACCAATGAAAGGAACTAGGTTCATCTTCTCCTATACTGTTAATGTATTAAAAACAAGCAAACAAATAACATTCTGTAATTTCTGGAAAAAACTATTAATAAAGATAAAATATTATAGATTCATTTTCATATGGTCAGTTGCAAGTGCCTCCCCATCAAAATTCTTTTAAAATTTAAATAGAAAATAAAAAACCACCCTTATTTCATGGTAACAGACTGCATACAACTTTGTTATGGTAAAAATCTAGGCCTCAGGATACAGGAAATATCAACCCAGTTAATAAATAACCATGCTCCTACTGGCAGATACCATACCAATTATAAAGATACCTCAGTTCCCTTCTTATGCCAATTAAATTCGAGAAATAACCCCAAATTCTATAAATTTAAAATTAAAGATCTGGCTTTGAAATGCAAGAACAGTATAATTATGATACTTATAATATTTAAATAAAACTAATACATTTACAAATGCTATAAACATAAAGGCATTTTTATAATTAATTGTCTGGCTATTAATTTCCATCTCCTGAGCCATCAGAGTTAAAAAAACAACAATCAAAAAACTTTCTAAGCTACTGACAAGAAGCAACAAGTGTCTTGTCTTGTTTTTATCAGATTTTATTTCCCCTATATCTTGATAGTTAAAAAAGCAGGGAAATAATTAAAAAAACAAGCTTTAACAGAGGGAAGAAAACAAAGCACTCAGCTTAAAAATTCACAAATGGGAAAATCAACTGATGATCATCAGGATTCCTGTAACATGCACAATTTTCTGCCCATTCTTCTAAACAGCTAAAGCAAAACAAAGCCTCTTTTAAAGCATTAACTGTAAGACAACTAAAAGAGAACAAGTAAAAGCATACCTTTTGCTATCTTCCCTGTAGATATTGCTCCCTCACTCTTGACCTTCCAATTCTGCATTTTATCTTGTTCCAGAATCACTGCCAAAGCCTTCTGCACATCAAACTTGTTCTTCAGAACTGCTTCAATCAAAGTGTCATCTGGCACAGCATCTCCAAGTACCTCTCTCATGTGATCAAGGCATGAATGAAGACGAGCTAGAACAGAAAATAATTAAAAGTCTGAAATGATGCCATGAAAGAACCCTCAATCTTCAAAACAAAACAAAAAAAGGATTGGAAACTATATTAGATGTCCAACTCTCCTCTTTCCCTGGCAAAAATTATTTGTAATGATTATATTTTTATCCACAATATACCTATCTTTCCCTATTAGAGCTCATGAAACAATAAACAATAAATATTGCTAAAAGAAAACAAATTACTGAAGTTTCTCTCCTAAGGAAATGAAGATCTCAGTCAAAAATTCCAGTTACTAAATAAGAGCCACACAACCAATTTTTCAACCACAGAGTTAATCATACACTCCTTGCAAAATATACTTAATAAAATGTAAATTTCCCTTGAAGATACCAGGGACATTTGTACCATCCTTACCCAGAATCACTATTAGGAACAATCACAATAAACCTGATAAATTCTGGTATATTGATCATCAATCATTTTCACACATGAAGCACAGATAAACTACTTTTTACTATACCTTGATCAATTCCACTCAGCTGATGGTTCAAAAGAGAACTGGAGGACTCTTTCGGATCTTCGTAATCGTATTCTTCTAGAGGCTCAACAAGTGAAGGTTTGTCGCGCCGTGAGTAAATAAATTGAGCAGCTAGAACAGAAAATGATGGAAGAATGCTGTAGCACAGCCCCTCCCCAGTAAGTCTTTTTTTTTTTCCACCAAAGTTAAAAGAGAAATTAAAGATTCTGACCTACCACCTATGGCCATTTACCCACATTCTATAATAATGGATAATAACAAAAACGAACGAAGACAAAACATACCATACACTGCACAGACGTCCTTAGTAACTATTTACTGGCCTCTTGCAATCATCCTCCTCCTTTCTTCCTATCTCCAACACCTTCACCAAGCTGACTTTTGCCACAGTTTCCAAACACTACCTTTCCTAACACCTCATCCCTGCCTACTACTCCATCTTCCATGCAAAATGTTCTCTTCTTTGGAACAAATATTTCAAACCATGTACCAAACTTGCTTATTTTCATAATTAAGAAAGTACTAAAAACAAGTTAATTTTCACTTTCCCAGAACTGCTAATTTTGCCTGAACCCAACAGCTGACCAAAATCATAGGCCTTAACTTTTGGACAACTCCTACTTTCAGTCCAACACTCTCTACACTGTTTGCTAGTGTCACATGCCTACCTGACTTTCAGGCTGTGCACTCTACAGCCGTGTCATCACTCAATATAGAGCTGGTATTGTAGAGTTCATTAAAAGGAAGAAAGAAAATATATGCCTGAATATCATAAATAAAATACAAGTGAGCAAAGGAGAAAATCATCACACACGCCCAAAGTGCTGACTATTCCACGTCAGCTGGGTGCCCACTGAGCTCAGTTCCTAGAGACTGTGCTCAAGTGTGAAGAAATAAAATTAAAGAATAAGAAAGATCGAAATTTTAATATAGTATTCTACAGGCAAGGTGTTAACTAGGGATTTTGTATTATTTAGCTTTCTGGAAGAGCACATAACACTCAAGTCTACTGCTTAGTGTCCCTACATTTAACTTTTGTTCATGTTTTCAAGAAGGCACTATCTGTGAAAGAAAGGGAAACTACATCCAAAGTTTATAGCTACTACATATAAATAATATACAAAGAGACATTAGATAATACTATGGCTTACACAGAAGGCTGTAGCATAAGGGCTACCTAGGCACAGAACAAATCAACGATGGCCTTACAGATGAGTAGGAAAGGCAAAGAAGAAAAACTTAATGATGTATTTTAAAGGCCAAAAGGGGGTGCCTGGGTGGCTCAGTCGTTAAGCGTCTGCCTTTGGCTCAGGTCACTTTCCCACATCAGGCCTCCCTGCTCGGCGGGAAGCCTGCTTCTCCCTCTCCCACTCCCCCTGCTCCTGTTCCCTCTCTCACTGTGTCTCTCTCTGTCAAATAAATAAAATCTTTAGATAAATAAATAAATAAAAAGCCAAAAGAGTAGCATAGATAACAAGTGCTACAGAAGCACAGAAGATTAAGCAATCACTGAAGATTGACACAGTTCTAAAAAATGAAGTAAAAGCATCAGAAAAACTGAGAAAGAGGCAGAAGACATCTTGGACAAGGAGAACAAATAAAAGAGAGCTACAGAACAGCTGAGAGAATTCAATCTATTCTGCTATAAGGCATGTTACCTTCACACCAAATGGTAAAGAGGAGAATGATGAGGGTATAACATTCAAGTGCTTTGGTTTATGAGATTTCTGTTCCCCCAACACTTCAATGTTTAGTATCATCACCTTATAGCAGCAGGTACAAAGTAACACCCACCTTAGAATACGACACTGTAACTATAATGGTACTGCAATGCCAGAGAGACCCACAGCCTTCCTCTTGGCTCAGTTCGGAGGACTTGCGTCTTGCTTTGTGCATGCTTACTGCTTGGCTCTCCAAGATCTGTGATCATTTGCCTTTGCAACATTACTCATTAGTTCAACTCTTTCTCACATTTCTATTAAGCTTTTTACCTTTTTTCAAACTGTTTTTAAACTCCTATATTTACTGGAATATTTCTTTATCAGGAAGTTAAGGTATCTTTTCAAATATGCAAGCATTTTTATTAAGATTACTGTTTTTGCTAGTACTTTACAGGCTGACTGATCTGTCATGACCCTATTTTTTCCCAGATGTTCTGTTATTTTCAACAGTTTTGAAGACCATAAGGTTTTTCAAGAATACACATATTATGCTGTATATATTTCTCCCTATTTAGCCCCCTCTAGTACAAGGAGAATAGAACTATTATAGGAGGCGCCTGGGTGGCTCAGTCGGTTAAGCGGCTGGCTGCCTTCGGCTCAGGTCATGATCCCAGACTCCTGGGATCGAGCCCCGCATCGGGCTCCCCACTCAGCAGAGAGCCTGCTTCTCCCTTTCCCTCTGCCTGCCACTCTGCCTACTTGTGCTATCTCTCTGTCAAATAAATAAATTTAAAAAATAAATAAATAATTAATTAATTAAAAAAAAAAAGAACACTATTATAAATTCAGCATGGCTAAACAGAAGAGACTCTCTAAGATGACCACTATTTTCATGTTAAAATCTCAGAATGAGGATGTGTCTTACAGTCAAATGGCATCTCAACATTATGTAATACTTAGACTGACAGAAGATTTACTTTAAGTGGTACATAAAATTACAATATACCTTACATTCTGTGGCATCTTAGATTTAATAAAATGTGGTAGTACTAAAAAAAGTAAACTGGGTCACTTTGTGCCTGGTGATTTACAAATTATTTTCCTAGCTATAATAAACTACTCAGTTTAGCCTAAAAGTAACAAATATACTTTCCTCAACTTCCTCTGACAGCTTTCACCTGTGAGAAAAACCCCAAGAAAAATCAAAAATTAAGTGAGGAAAAAATCACATTATTTCCCTCAACAGTTTTCACTTAGGAAATTTGGACAGGAAAAAGAAGTTGTCAATATCCAGGCTACAACTCAACCTCAGAGGAGCTATTTTTTTTCCAGAGGGGGTGGAGGATTCCTTACCCCCGATCCACACACAAATCCAACTCAGAAACCTATACTTTGGCCACTGTTTTGGAAGCAGTGTTGGCTAGATTTGCTGGCAAGTGGGGAGGGAAGGAGGGTAGACAAATTCTCCAGGGAAAATAACTACTAGTGGGGAAAAACAGTCCAAATCTTTGAAGCTGAAATGAAAGCCCAAAAGGCAACAAATACAATAAAAGAGTAAGAAAAAAAGCAATGGAGAGAAAAGGATAAATATAAAATGCTATTCGTTTCTCAATTTAAATCACAAACTTCGATGGAAATGCTTTTTGAAAAACTGGGACACCCGCGGTGACTTTTAAAACTTAAGGCAGTTTAACAAACATAAAAGTTCAAAGAATTCAAAACCTGACTCCTACAACTGCTCCAAATTATTTCCTTAACACCTTAAAATAAAAATCATGTTAAGAGGCACTCATTAATGACACAGCTGTCTGGGCTTCTTGCTCTGGAGGTTCTGATTCAGTGATGCTGGAACTGAGGCAGGGAATCTGTATTTTTAAAATGTCTCCCAGCTGACTGGTATCATCAGCGAAGATTAGGAAACACTGGCTGACAAGTCCCCCCGTAGTCCACTCTGTACAATCATCAATTCCCTTCCGAAAATACGGCCCCCTCACTCAAAACCCTTCAGTAAGCTGACATGACACACCTACAATTAAACACTGCCTTCCACAGCTTGGCTCCTACTTCCTTTCCTAGTCCTCTCTCCTGCTGCAACTACATTAATCGTGTGAGTGTTCTCAAGTAAGCTTCACATAAGAGGCCACTGCTCAAGCACTATTTTCTTCCGCTGAAGAAAGCCATTCCTCCTCCCAAATTTACCAGTCCAATCTCCCCTCCTTCCAGAAGCCTTCCCAGACTCCTTCATGCAGGACTATGGCTTCACCCGCCCGATTCACCCACAAACCGCTGTGGCATGTTTGAAGAGGACTTTTAACATGCTACCTACCTAGAATAGGGACTTTCTTACACGTTAACTGATGGACTGAATTAAGGATCACTGTTGTTTAGGTAACCACTGGAGGCCTTCTGACTGGGGTGGCTCCAATGCCTTGATGACACACGGAACACGAAGCCGAAGTCAATTGCTGTGAAGGCCTCAGGAACAACCAGTCACGAAAGCCAACTGGGCTTTCCCAAATAATGCAACCCTTAAGCTACAGCCAATCAAATAACCTCTTTGCTTTGTTTCCGTCTTCCCTATAAAAACCTTGCCCCTAGCCCTGTTCCAGTAGAGCCCTCCTAACCACTTCCAGTTCGGGGCCACCTGATTCAAACTGATGTTTGCTCAAATAAACTCTTAAAAATTTCAATATGCTTCAGTTTATCTTTTAACACTTCTAATTTCAGTAAGCAAAACAAAACCCATAACTGTTCAAATAAAGTTATATATATAGGTTATTTTTGCCATCCCCATGGCAAAATTTTTCCTTGACATATGTCCAATATTCAATATGAAAAGTCAATCTTTCCAAAGGAAAAAAAGCTGTAACATTTAGAAATCACCTTTCCATCACGGAAACTGGGCTTAGCAGAGTTCAAAAAAATACAAGTGCTGATGAATTTTTTAGAAATTCCAATAACTGATAAAATCACTCAATTATCAGAATTCATTAAGACCATGAATATGAGCATCTCTTCAATGACACTGGCTGTTTAAAAACAGAGAGGATCCTTCTAACACTATGGATTTTTTTTACTGAAAATCACTTGGAAAATATACCACTACAGAGGAGAAGTTTCTGATCTAATATCACTGTTTTGAAAAATTAAAAAATCCAAAACCACATGTTTTTTGTTAAAAATACAGTTTGTCACAGAAAAAAAAACTCAAAACCATTTAACTGTATCTCCTGCTTCAATAATGTCATTGACGGGGCGCCTGGGTGGCTCAGTTGTTAAGCGTCTGTCTTCAGCTCAGGTCATGGGCCCAGGGTCCTGGGATCGAGCCCCGCATCGGGCTCCCTGCTCAGCAGGAAGCCTGCTTCTCCTTCTCCCACTCCCCCTGTTTGTGTTCCCTCTCTCGCTGTGTCTCTCTCTGTCAAATAAATAAAATCTTTAAAAATAATAATAATAATAATGTCATTGACGTCCTGGAGTGTACAAAAGTAACTCAAAGAGCAAAACTGTCCTAAACATGAACCACACACAGGACACACATGAAGAGCTATGAGAGACACAAGGATAAACTGACCTCAAGAAAGCTAGACCATGAGTGCAAATCTCAGAAAAACACGCTCAGAATGTCTGACCTGGTGTACCATCAGTTCATAACACAAAATTAAGCATGATTTATCCAGATAAGCCCAGATAAATTAATGTGTTAACCTGCAAGATTAAGATGTCTTTCAGTAGTTCTTCCCTCTGTAAAGGTTCCCACCCTTGTGCAATTTCTAAATCCTGTAGACCTTAACTCCCATAATTATCTCTTGAATCTATCTCCAAATCTAATGCTACCACCCTTGTCCTAAACAAATGATTCACAAAGCAAGTATCAACATACCATGGAGGGCTTGTTAAAACAGTAGCTGTGCACCACTCTTGAGTTTCTGACTGGAACGGGGCCAAGAATTACTTTTCTAATAAATTCTCAAGTGATGTTAATGGCACATGGACCACATTTTGAGAACACTGTCATCAAATATCCCCATCTCTAGATTAGTATAATAACCTTCCAAACTAATCTATGAATATCCATTCATGTACCACCTTCAATCCAGTCTCTACTATGTAGAAGGGATTTTTTTAAAAATTCCAATCTAATTATTAAACCCACATCATCTTCTCATTTCATGAGCATGTCATGCTTTCTATTCCACTTACAATATGAGTGATGAAGTTAATGCTACCAGCTATCACTGTATCACCTCGTCAACTGTGACAATATTATTACAGGAGCCCACAAGGGTTAAAAATGGCAAGTGTCGGGGCGCCTGGGTGGCTCAGTAGTTAAGCGTCTGCCTTCGGCTCAGGTCATGATCCCGGAGTCCTGGGATCGAGTCCCGCATGGGGCTCCCTGCTCTGCGGGGAGTCTGCTTCTCCCTCTGCCTGCCGCTCCCCCTGCTTGTGTTCCCTCTCTCGCTGTGTCTCTGTCAAATAAATAAAATCTTTAAAAATAAATAAATAAATAAATATAAATAAAAATGGCAAGTGTCTGGGAGGTTCCTTGGACAAAATGAAATTTCTTTTATTCCTCATCCCTACAAAATGTGGCCTTGCACCCCTGCATAAGGAGCTCTTAAGGAATGCTGATGAAGCCATCTCTCAGCTTCAAACCCAGCCTTCTTTATTCTGCTTTGTGATGCTGGGGTTGCAGTCTCTAGGAAGTTCATTTCTTCGACAGCTGACTCCATTTTAGGATCAGCCAACAGAGGAGATGCTAAAGGGAGACTGAAGGCCAGGGGAGGAAAACACAAGCTCCTTTCCTTTTTGCTTCTTGCGCAGCTCCCTTTGCCCCAGCAACACTGCATGCTGCAGTAACAGCAATTAGTACCAGTGAGCAGTTTGCCCAAAACTCCCAGAACCAGCTTCCATGTGTCCCCATCCACATCCCTCAGACACCATGACCAGAAAATTCCCTCTTCAAAAGGCTGAATCCCAGCTTCACAGGGTCCTTTTGCCAACACGAGTACCAGCCATGCAGTGTCCCCCTCCTCGGAGGGCTGAGTCCCCATTCCATAGCCCTTCCTCTGAATTTCAGAGGCAAAGCAGAACCCTCTTCTCACAGGTCTAAGCCCCAACTCCAAGGACGACCTCTACAAGCTTCTAAAAGGTTGGGCCTGACCTCACCCATTTGCTCCTATAGAACTAGGTAAATGCTTCCTGAAGTCACCACCTCCTTGATATTTTGCTTGCCTTTCTTGCATTTTTTTTGTTCTTTAAAACCTGGTTAACAACTTCTTGCATTAAATTCTCTCTGACAAAATAACTAGTGCAATTTCCATCTCCTAACAGGACCCTGACTGGTAACAGTGTAACACTAGAGCAAGAGAGGAAAGGCCTTGATTAGTAAGGCTAAATGAGAAAAGTACAAATAAAGAGCTGTATGAAGAGAAGTCTCTGCGTTAACACCTCAATGTTTCTAAGAGATAAGAGATTCCTGAGTATATAAAATTAATTGTTACCCACCTTCAGAAGTTCTAGATTTTCATTACGGACTAAATTACCATTTCGGTACAATTCAGATTAATTGCAAGTTACAAAAAATATTGGAAAAAACATAGTTTTCAAAGTTTTCTTCAAATGTTTAAAACTTAGATTCTATTCATGGGTAAAGAAATTATTTTATACACATTTAAAAGTTAAAGACATCATCTTTTTAAATGTTACATAATATTATAGTCTTATGGAACACTCTAATCCTAGAATGACAATAATACTTAACATTTTTTAACACCCAAATAATGGAAATCAAATTATTTTTTAAAAGTCACCTGTTGATGGTGAAATACAATAATCATCCTCTACAGACTGGCCATAGAGATCATCATCTTCAAAATCTAAAATAAAAACACAAGAGATAAATTTTTCACAAGTTCTTTTTATATTCTTAGTTATTAACAAGGAAGCATCTGAATTCTCTCCAAACTAAACTCTCCCTCAAAATTAAAGGAGCTTAGAATGTCTACTCTTCCAAAAAATTCTAAAAATTTTACCCACAAAGTAAATACTTTCTATATTCATAGACATACATAATAGTTCTGCAGTTTTTAAGCTAATTGAATTTTATTAAAAATTTTCCAAGTTTTCACTGCATGTGATCAAAAAATTATAGTACCAGAGACCACAAACCTGAATTGTCTCTCCAGTGTTAGAATCTGTAATAAGTCATCCATTCATTTTTTTCACCAAGAGCCCTTCTACAACAAAAGCATTTATTTCCCATACAACTGACGAGCACAGGGTATACAATCAGACCATGAAAACAGTTTTTCTTCATGTTGAGCTAGTTAATTTCTATAAAAACCATCTTATCCTAAATTCCCTTATGCTCTCAGTTCATGCTAATTAGACTTTTTTCCTACTGACTAAAATAAGCACTTTGCCCAGATTTTCTTAAGGCTGTTTCTTTGTCCTCGTTAAGGTTCCAGCTAAACGTCACCTATTTGCATACATCTTCCCTGACCACTCTGGTAAAGCGGCAAGCCCCGCTGCCACTTCCACTCTCTTGCACACTCCTCCAATTGATTGTCTTCAAAGCACTATGTCTGTTTCATTCCATGAAACTCTAAGCTCCAGGGAAAGGCTCTGTCTTAGTCAACTACCTGGCACATGACTGGAAGTAAATTAGTTTTCCTTTTATTATAAATTAATGAATCAAACAATTTAAAACTAAAACCCGCAAAAAAAAGGTAAATATAGGGTGCCTGGGTGGGTGGCTCAGTCGGTTAAGCATCTGCCTTTGGCTCGGGTCATGATCCTGGAGTCCCAAGATCGAGTCCCACATTGGGCTCCCTGCTCGGCAGGGAGTCTGCTTCTCCCTCTGCCCCTCACCCCGCTCGTGCTCTCGCTCTCTCTCTCAAATAAATTAAATTAAGAAAAAAAATTTCTCTAAAAAGATAAATATATTTACATAAATGCATCTATTCATATGATAAACAAATTATGCAAAGGACTATTAGACGTATCTGAGAGACAACAGTGAGTGACAGGTACATTCCCAGAGCTCTATGAACCTAAAATCTAACAGGAAACACAGACACAAAAGCAGGCAATTGCAAAATTATATGACAAATGTTTGAGACATGAGAAATATAGAGTGAATTGGGATCACACATATGAACAACAAAAACAGAACTGGGAGTGGGGTGGCTAGGGAAAGATCCCCCAGAATATAATATTTAAACAAATTCCAAAGGATAGTTAGCTAGTTTCTGAGGGTATTCATATAGCAGGAGCAGCATGTTCAAGGGTTTAGACCAAATATTTATGGCAAAGAAAAATCAAATAAATGCTACTATTGGATAAAAATATGTAACAGTCTGGGGTGCCTGGGTAGCTCAGTCGGTTAAGTGTCTGCCTTCAGCACAGGTCATGATCCCAGGGTTCTGTGACTAAGCCCCACATTGGGCTCCCTGCCCAGCAGAGAGCCTGCTTCTCCCTCTCCCTCTCTGCTGTTCCCCCTGCTTGTGCACGCTCTCTCTCTCTGTCAAATAATAAAATCTTTTAAAAAATATGTGACAGTCAATAAATTATTAGATCACAATCCCAAGGAAACAATCTATTAGCAAATAATGAGCCATTTACAAAATATTATTTTTAGATATGAATGACAATAAACTTTACTAGGTCAGTTTTTCAACTAAAATTGACCCTAACAGTGCCACAATATAAAAAGATGAAGAGAATTCTTCCCTGGTATTTTTGTAAAGTGGTTCTTTTCCTCAACAAAATTCTGTAACATTTACCGCACATAAAGCATTGTTCCACGTACTGGAGTAAAGGTAACAATAAAGTAAATATAACAATAAGGTATGGACTATGCCCTCCTAGCACTTTTAAATTAGTAGCTAACTTAGCATTAGCTAAAGGCCGTCATGTAAGTACTATCCAAATTACAGAGTAGAACAAAGTGAAAGTTAAATAGAGGAACCAATAGGTTTAAAGCACATACTCTCTCTAATAACGTCATATTACTTTCGAGAATTTTCAAATTATTATTTGAAAATAATACAAAGGGGAAACTTTTAACTGAGAAAAAAAGAGAAATAAACTGAATCCTTAAAATGAGTAGAACTTTCATAAGCAGGAAATGGGGATGAACCTCCTATGCTATAGGAACAGATTGTTTATGATGTCATCAATTGTTCCAAAGAAACATGAAAAAGGACAACCTGAACTGGGGTTGCCCAGGTGAGAAGATATTTAGCACTCACTCCCACAAGCCAAACACCTCTCCTCCAGGAGAAATCCTAGAAATCCTGCTTAAACTCCTCAAACCCACCCTGAATAAGGTGATCTCACTTACATAGCTCCCACAGCACCTTGGGAGTACTTTTTGTAGCATGACATACTAGAATCATCTGTTACTTGTATATTTCCCCCTTTAGATTCCCTCAAGCATCTTATTATCAGTCCCCAAAGCTTAGAGCAGTACTCTAAGCACTCAATTAATGAAGAATAAGCACTCAATTAATGTTGGTTGAAGAAATTATAAATACTTATTTAAGAAATGAGTAAGTTGCTTATTCATATTTTTTATATCATAACCTCAAAAATATCTCTCAGGCTAAAGTCATCTCTCGGGTAGCAGTGATTACATCCACTGCAACACTTAAAACGGCCTCCAATCTAAAGTGAACACGAGGAACCTAACATGTGACAGGCTGACTAGGAGACAGTCTCCAAATGTAGCACAGGGTGTTAGCTACACTGTGGTTAGGGCAATACTGATGTTCTAGAATAATCGTCCAGCAGTGCCAATAACAGCCAACATATTAAGCACACTTACATAATCTGCACTTTAAAAAGCAATACGTCTTTACTCCTTTTTTGCACTCCTTCATATTTTTTATAATTTTAGTTGGCATGATGCTTGGTGATGCCTGTAATTATCCACTGCATAGAGATATGCGCCTACCCTAAACTAATTCTAACTCCTTTTAAATTCCTAGAGAACATATGCACATTTTTTATTTCATTTTTTTTAAATCAAGAAGTATGTTCCGGAGCCCCCTTGCCTCTAATATTGCTTTTTTTTTTTCCTCCCATTCCAAAATACATTTAAATTCAGCATTATCAACCAAGAACTGGGTATACACCTCAAGATCATCTGATCCACTTATTCACTGGGCCTTTTTGATATCTCTTTTTTATCGACTCCTAAGTTTCCAATTTAAATTGAAACTCATAGAAAATAAGTTATCTGCTCAAGCCAGGTTCTGTACTAAGTATGTATAAACAGACACAAATAATTTACCACGTATATCTAAGTTACAGCCGAACAGTTGAATGTAAGCATGAAGTCAATCTATCTTTTACAAATAAGCAGTTTCATGGGCATTTTGGAAGGGGGGTCGGAAGACACTACCTAGAAGTAGACGACTGTCTACCCGACCTGGGAGGAGACAATGGGAGGGAGAAATGATAATGCTTACGTGCACAAATATCACCATATCCCAACCTTCCCAAATGTCCTTCCCATACGAATGCGTGCAGCAACCTCCTCCTCCCTAAATAAAATCAATCCCAGACGGCAGAAATCACGACTTAAAACAATGCCATTCGCTGGCACTCACATGTATTGTTATTTTCTCCAACTGAGGCTATTCTGAGTTCCAGCCTGGCACCACTAACGAGAAACTCACAGATCGAAGTGGAAGCCAACGGGCTGCGATCCCAGCTGGAACCGCGAAAATGACGTCCCGGCATGACCCTGCCACCTACCTTCATCGTAGTTATAGCCTCGGACATTCCGATGCCGGGCCATGGCGGCGGAGAGGGCGTTCGCCACAGCCCCTTACAAAACACACGTTTAGATACTGATAAAGCGCCAACTGCGGCCTGTACAACACATACGCGCCATCTTGACTTCCGGCAAGCCTCTTCACTGAGCGCCTGCGCACGCGCGACGTCTTATCTGAACATTGAACGACGGCAACCTCTCAGGGTCGCCCGCCTCCCTGGGGCGCATGCGCAGGTATGCGACGGAAGCTGCTTTTAGCATAGCCCCGCCCACAGACAGGTTGACTGACAGAGGGCTCAAAGGGGCGGGATCCCAGTGCCTAGTATTTGTGGATTTGTACCAAAAACTTGGAGCCTGAGTCCTTGACCTACATCGGCGTTCCAGATTATTTCCTAAATCTGGTTTGTGATAATGAAGCTGACTGTGTGCTCAGTAGAAGCAGGAAACTTATGTAACTTTCATCTTTGAGGCCCAGTTAGGCACGTAATAGGCACTCACAAACTTGTACAAGTTTGGTTTTAGAATTAGTCCAAGATTTAGAGGGGGGGTAAAAGGACTCTCTTTAAATGGGTATATATGGTTTAACTGAGACCCTGGCTACAATAGGTCACCACGCCTTCGTGTATGTAATTTATGGTTTCACGTACATGCTCCATCCTGCGTTAACATATAGTAAACTGCTGTCTGTCCTTAGCGATGCAGACACTTAACATCAGCATCATAAAGAATTCTTTGAGCATTCATTGAACACATAATCATGTGTAACATGCTACGGGTATTAAATACAGCTTTTTAGACAGAGCACTGGCCTTAGGTACTCTCATTTTTGGGGACACAAAGCGGAAACAAAAACACAAAGTGAATGATGCTATGTAAAAGACCAACATCATTATCATACTGAACAAATCACATTTCTGTTTTAGTCTGTGTTTTCAAAATGGTGATACTTTACATCAAATTCTAGAAATGAAAACTTACTCAACTTTATTATACATAATAAAAGGATAATGATGCAAATGCAGTTCATATTTGTAAGTGGCTTGAAATATAATTTATACACGGTCAATGCATTTGACCGTGTCTGACTACCAAGTGTTTGTTCTTAACTATCACTGATGTTTAATGTAGCTCCAAGACAAAATTATACACAAAAATAGTTGCTAATTTTATAAGGCCTAAGGGTTTTACTTTACACTTTTAGATAATTTTTATGTTGCAGCCTGTTTCTTTGTAAAATGGAGATAGTAATAGTATCTAACTCACAGAGTGCTGAATAATTATCCTTTTAAGATGATTTCACACAGATCTCAGATGCTTTAAAATATTAGGCATTATTAAAATACGGTATAACTCACTGAGGTATGAAGTGGATGAGTTATAAATTGACCACATAAACAGTACTACAAAGCAATGAAGAAGAAAATATTACTTCTGCCTGAGGAATAGTATATAATTTGCCTCTGGTTCATCAATAATGCACTCTTTTAACATTCTAAACACTTTTTAGAGCCTTGACTGCATCTCCAGCAATAGAGCTTCTTCAGTAGTAAAACCTTCACTGACTTCCTCAGAAAGTGTTAGGGATTTTATTCTCTGCCCCCAGGACTCTTTAGTTGTGATTTTTGTATTGTGGTTTGATGGAAAGTACCATAACTTTGGAGTCAGATAAACCTGGATTTCAGTGCCAGTTCTGCCACTTTCTGTTAACTTTTTTGGGCTCAATTTATTCATCTGTAAAATGGATATAAAAAGATACGCCTTCAGTTTTGTGAAAAGTAAATGAAGTGGTGGATGTAAAAACAGCTGTTACATAAGTTCTGTAAGAGAAGAAAAAATCTCTGCCTTCTTTAGGTCTCTGACTCTAAGAATTAAGCTGGCATAAGAGAGATTAACAGGAGAAAAGCATAAAAGTTTAAATTTTTACACATACATGGGAGCCTTCACAAGAGGATGAAGATCCAAAGAAGTGACCAGAGCAGGAAGTTTTTATACCTTTTAAACAAAGAAACAATCAACTTGTCAAGAATTGTTAAGACAAAGGGATATGGGCTACAGGTAGTAAATTGTGGGGAAGTAACTAGGAAATGTATGGTCGGGGCAAGGGGATGCAAAACAAGTGGAAGATATTCAGTAAATTTGTACAGATCCATTTCAGCATCAGTTCCCAGTCTCTGATGATAAGGATGCTTTCTCATCCGGTAACTTTCTCATGGGAAATTTGATGGCCTGTTTTATATAGAAAAGGATAGGTTTGCTACTTCTGAGGTTCCTTCAGCTCAAAACAATCAAAGTGGCATATTTTGGAATGAAAGACTCTGGACTCCTTTAATACTCAATAAATACTAGTTCTCTACCCAACTAATTGGATAGCTTTATCTTTATTTCTCCAGCACTTAGAATGCTTGCTGAATGAACTAATGAATTAAAAAAAAATAGAGCCTCGAGAAAGACAAATACCACATGATTTCATTCATAAATGGAATCTAAAAAACAGATGAATAAACAAACAAATGAAAAGCAGAATCAGACCTGTAAATAGGGAGAACAAACTGATAGTTGCCGGGGTGGGGAGAGAGATGGGCAAATGGGTGAAGGGGAGTGGGACATCAGGCTTCCAGTTATGGAACAAAAAAGTCACAAGAATAAATGGAATGCATAGGGATATATGGTCAGTGATGTTGTAATAGTATTGTATGGCGCCATATGGTAGCTACACTTGTTGGGAGCACAGCATAATGTATAGAGCAGTTGAATCACTGTGTTGGACACCTGAAACTAATATAACATTGTGTGTCAACTGTACTCAAAATAATTTTTAAAAAATGATACAGTCTCTGGGTATATTTAACAAATATCATAAACAACTATACAAATAATTATTTTTACATAGTGGTAAAAAAAGTTAAAAATGAAAATAGCATAAATAGATTACTGAAAAGTTTTTAATACCTTTCTTGAGGAATCCTTAATAAACAATAAACTACACATATTTAAAGTATACAATTTGATACATTTTGACATATGTATTTACCAGTGAACCCATTAACCCAAACAAGATAATGAACATGTCCATATTCCCAAAAGTTTCCTCATGGACTTTTATAATCTCTCTCCTGCCACCCCCCACTCCCCCCCACCAACACACACACACCTCTTTGCCCTGGTCCCATGCAGCAACTGATCTCTCGGTCACTATAGATTAGTTTGTATTTTCTAAAATTTTACATAGAAGAAATCATATAATACGTATTCTTTTTTATAGGTCTTCATTCGCTCAGCACAATAATTCTGAGATTCATTAGTATAGGTACTTTAATCAATAGTTCATTCCTTTTTATTGCAGAGGTGAATTCCATTGTATGGATGGATATACCACAATTCATTTTTCCATTCACCTATTGATAGCTATTTGGGTCATTTTCAATTTTGGCTACTATAAATAGGACTACTGTGATTATCCATGTACAATTCTTTGTGTGGACATAAACTGATTTCTCCTAGGTAAGTACCTAGGAGTGGAGTGGCTGGATGATATGACAGGTTATCTCTAGCTTTTTAAGAAACTGCCAAGCTGTTTTCCCAAGTGGTTGTAACATTTTATGCTCCCATCATCTGCAAAGTTCCATTTTCTCCACATCCTAGCCATCACTGGTTATGGTCTAAAGATGTTGTGCTTATTTGACATTTCTATACCCTCTTTGGTGAAGTGTTTGTTTGAATCTTTTTGTCTATTTTTAATGAGGTGTCTGTTTTCTTATTTTTTACTTTAGAGAGTTGTTTTTATATTCTGGATACAGCTACTTTATCTGATATAATTTGTAAATATTTCTCCCAGTGTGTAACTGGTCTTTTCATTCTCTTAACGGTGTCTTTTGAATAGCAGAAGTTTTTAGGTTTGATGAAGTTCAATTCATCATTTTTTTAAAATAATGGATTATTTTAAAATATGGATACTGTATCTAAGAAATCTTTGCCTAACCCAAAGTCACAAAAATTTTCTCTTAATTTTTTAAAAAGTTTAACAGTGTGGGGTTCCACATTTAGATTTTTTTTAAATCTATTTTCAGTTGATTTTTGTATATGATATAATGTTTGGATCAAAATTCACTTTTACATATATATATACATGCAATTGTTCCAGCACAATTATTGAAAAGAAGGTCCTTTCCCCACTTAATTTCATCTGCATCTTTATCACAAATCAGTTGTCCATATATATGTGATCTATTTCTAGGTTCTACGTTCTATTGATCTGGCTTGACACCAATACCATGTTGTCATGATCACTGTATCTTCAAAATTCTTAAAATTAGGTAATGTTAATCCTCCAACTTTCTTCTTTTTCAGAGTCTTCTTAGCTAATCTAGGTCCTTGGCACTTCTGTATCAATTTTTACTTTTTAAAAGATTTTATTTAATTATTTATTTATTTGAGACATTGAGAGAGAGGGAAAGCACAGAGGGAGAACGAGAGGGAGAAGCAGACGCCCCACTGAGTGGGGAGCCCTATGCAGGGCTCAATCCCAGGATCCTGGGAACATGACCTGAGCCAAAGGCAGACCCTTAACCACCTGAGCCATCCAGGAGCCCCTCTATATGAATTTTTAAATAAGGTGATCAATTACCTTAAATATTCCTGTTGAGAGTTTGACTGGTATTTTACTGAATCTATAGATCAGTTTGGGGAAAATTGATATTTTAACATTGCTACAAATATGCACTCTTTTTTTTTTAATTTTATTTATTTATTTATTTATTTATTTGACAGAGAGAGAGACAGTGAGAGAGCGAACACAAGCAGGGGGAGCAGGAGAGGGAGAAGCAGGCTTCCCGCCGAGCAGGAAGCCTGATGCGGGGCTGGATCCCAGGACCCTGGGATCATGACCTGAGCTGAAGGCAGACGCTTAACGACTGAGCCACCCAGGTGCCCCAAATATGCACTCTTTTATTTTATTTTTTTTAAGATTTTATTTATTTATTTGACAGAGACAGAGACAGTGAGAGCAGGAACACAAGCAGGGGGAGTGGGAGAGGGAGAAGCAGGCTTCCTGCTGAGCCGGGAGCCCAATGCGGGACTCGATCCCAGGACCCCGGGATCATGACCTGAGCTGAAGGCAGTCGCTTAACCAACTGAGCCACCCAGGCGCCCAATATGCACTCTTTTAACACATGACATCATATGTCTCTCCATTTATATAGATGTTTAATTTCCC